AGCAGGGAACTACCGCAGTCGACTGGAGCAACTCCACCATTGTCTCGAGAGGCTCTTAGATTGCGATTGCGGTAGTCATAGAGGAATCAGTCCGTTTTCTACGGCCTATAACTTACTTGCCCCTACGCTTTTCACAGGTTGACTGCCGCCTGTGAAAGCGAGATTCACGAATAACAAACCATGTTTTATCGAAATCGTGGTTACATTGGTCACATCTTCACTTTACGTCCATTGTTGGAGCACCTCTTCATATTGACGACCCATTGTAGTCGTGATCCTCGACATCAAGATGCCGTCGATTTGGTTGACCGATATGCCCTTTGAGACCTTTACTCAAGAATTGTGTGCCCAAGAAATACGTAAGCAATATCAAATTGTTTTACAATCGCATTTCGAGCAGAGTAAGGCCTTACGGCAGGCGGTCGCAGCCCTTCATTATCTCCAGCATTGTGAAACAATGATGCCCGCGTCATTTTTCTTTCAACTTTTCCACCAATGAATTCATGTCAACTGCGTACAGCGCACACGATTTAGAGTGTGTGGACTCGCTCCCAGGCGATTGACTTCTTGACTTGAAGTATGCCGATAACATAGGCCTTATCTGTGGCAGATTACGAACGTGCCAAGCAGCACTTGACAATTTAGCATTGGCTGTCAATCGCTTCGGCCTATGCTTTGCTCCGTTGTGCGCCAACGAAACATCAACACAAAGTAACACCACACTGCTGTTGTCGGTGTTGCTGATGATGATGATGATTACTACTACTCGAGCTGGAAGAGTCTACGCGGTTGGCATAGTTACTAAGCATTGTGAGTAAGTAATCTGGGAACGTTTTTCTCCTCTCATGAATTAGAAAGCATTTAACTGACTTCTGTCGACTTCAGCTTCCATATTCAGAATGACTCCTTACTTTGTGCAAACCTCGGTTATCATTCTCGCTGTGTTCCCCAAGTTGCCTACACATCGTTCATCCACGGAGTCGTTGGAGGAAGCATCGGGAGCGACGTGAAGATGGTTCTCCTCGATGTTAGACTTGCGTTCAACTCTTTCTTTGTCCACCAAAGTTGCGGTCACTCACAATCACCCTTGCTAATAATCGACACGTACATTTAAACCAATTCTTTTCTCACAGTTTAGGCAGGTTCCTCACCGTATTTCATCATCGTTATCAATACATGTTAGTCGAGAGTAAGGAATATACCTCAGTTATCGTGCCGCAACATAAAAAAACTAAGATATTACGCAATATGGACTTGGACGCAATAAAAAATAACATAATGCTAATATCACATTTGTACTCGTTATTGGAGAGCGGAGCTAAAAGGAAGTGTCACAAGAGACTCACAACATAAACGTCATTGAAGTCAACTCTTCGCCATATCGGCTAGTGTCTCCAACCAAACGTGTTCATCATTCTTCGGTCCATAGTCGGGAAACAGCAACCGACGCCAACTTCGAACTGGAGTACTTCATTCCTCTTGACCAAGTAATCACTTAGCCTCCCCTTCTCTTTTTCTATCCACACCCGCGGCGCACAAACATCGCACGGCGCAGAAGTCGGTGTGCTGGCATGCGCAGCATGTGGCCCAGCCATCGGAGCCTGGTGCGTGTGACAGCGCCAGAGTGTATCACGTTACACTAGATAAATTAGCTCTGGCTGTCAGTCGTTTCGGGCTATGCTTTGCACCATCGAAACGCAAAGTTCTTCGTCAAGATTGGCATGGACCCAATCCTACACTGACTCTTGGTGGGGATCATCTAGAAGTCGTCGAAAAATTCAATTATCTGGGCAGCTATATCAGCGCCAGTGGAACGGTAGATGAAATTACTAACCGTATAGCAAAAACTCGAACCGTTTTTACTAATTTCTGCCATCTGTGGCGCCGACGTGGTTCACTGTGTCTGTTAAATATTCCATAACTTGCGTAGCCCATTCCGCCTTCTTTTCTCCCTTTCGGAGCAACACTTCGATGTTGGGTCTTCTTCTCACCCCACAGAATCGTGCGAGCGAGATTAATTTTCCTGTCACTGATGTGCTTGTACCATTTACCGGACACCGCTTCATTGGGTAAATACCGCCTTGCATTCTCCTAAAGCGACTGAGTACTTTTCCTCTGTAATGGCCTAATTTATTACCACGCCTAAATACTCCCTCACCTGAGAACCTCTGGGGGTGGTGATGGTTTCAAATCGCTTCCAACAATCAGGTCACCTGGCACTAATGGGTATATGCAAGCGACGTTCTCTGCTGTCCTCCCGACTCTGGTGAAATGTGTTGACAGCAGCAAGCAGCGTGAACGACATGCAATGCGTTGAATCACCACACGGGCGTCGAACGAACTTCAACTTTTGATTATTATCGCCTGCGCAACTTACAGCTGTGTTGTCATTACATCTCTGTGACATTCCCCGTGATGTGCTTCGATAACCTGTCAAATATAAGCGGACATCGTTGGAAAAGTCATCCGTTTCATTAGTCGGACTGTACAATGCTTTCCTGACCTAATTCAAACCGTGCGCAAAACACTACAAATTTGATGTAAAATTTGAGTGACACAAATGAGTGGAGTTCTTTTACAGAGATGCTGCTTTCCTGGACACATGTTGGCTGATTGGAATCAGAGGAAACCTGAATATTGAGGGACACAATGCTAAAATTAAAACTATCAGTGGTGCATCGGAATCCCGAACGAACGCTTCGCTGTCGCGAATTGGAACACCACGAGGTCGACTGCACTTGCGTGTGGACTACAAACTAAACATCGGAACCAGTAATTGAAGGGGCTGTGTTGAAGCGCTCGTGTGATTGGACTGTGACGCGCAATTTCAATGTGAACCACGATTCACGTTGAAATGAAACTTGGTCAATTCAACCGCTAGGGCCGTTACTGATGTGGATGGAAATTTGGTGTTGACCTCCCGAGAGTGCTTCACTCCAGGACCCGCTTCGACCATTAGTTGCTCTCATCAGTTAGGATCAGTAGCCATCGAACCCGAGGTTTCTGGGATGACTGCCGAAGCCTCTACTCATAAGCCACCGTATCGCGGCTCGATCTGAATCACTCCTCGCTATTGTTTTGCGATTGTCACGTTTCTCCTCACAAAGCCACATTACACGGGTACAAGTAGCTCCACATTTTCTTTTTGCTTCCGCTTGTGCCTCCGCCGAGACAGTCTGCAGTCAGTCTTGTGTGCTAGTCTGCGGATTGGTTGCAGCTCTCTTCGTTGCATCCCCATCTTCACTGTCTTTCGGATTGTTCTAGCACCGATTCCGGTGAGCTAACTGCCCGTTGGACTTGTTTGATGAAGTCTTTGCACTCACCGTATGACGGTTTCCGAACCTTCAAACGTTGTATCGGGCTCCCGATACGCATTACATTCGTCGACCATCCGTGGAGTGACCGAAACGCGACCCGAGTCAGGCAATGTGACAACTACAGTGCCTTTTTATATTTAGCGATGTAGGATGCGAAGTGGTATCGTTTTTCGTTCTCCCCGAAGCCTTCATTGTGTATGAAAGTGCGCGTCGAAGCAAAGCTTTACCTACCTTAAAAAAGAAGTATATATATATATATATATATATATATTCACAGTCTGTTAACAGACATTGCGCCATCAGAACCATGGCAGAAGAAAAAAATGAAGAAGATGGGAACACTAATGCGATTAAAAAATGTGGGAAACGACTTTTTTGGTTTTACACACGCCATTTTGTATTTCTTGTTTTGTTTTGTGAGTTTTTGTGTGCATTAAAGGGGTGGTGAAATCGCAAAACAACATTGACGCCACTGATGTCTGTTGCGGGCCATGACGTCTAATGTTTCCAACCACTGCAATTCAGCATCTCCTGGTCCCCAACCTGAAAGGCGGACTGGTCCGACTGCCGCCAAACTTGAGGTTGCATTCTTCATACTCCTTCTCCACGTCATCGGTTGTCCACCGCGGCACTTTCCAATCGCTCCCTGGGAGTGCAAATAGCGCTCGACGTTGAAGGCAATGGGCTGGCATGCGCAAAACGTGCCCGAGCCAAGGCATGCGATGTCAGAAAATAACGTTCTGAAGACTGGCACTATTCGCCCCAAGCACGCGGTCTCTCACCTCTGCCTTGCTTGCGTGGTGTTGCCACCACACCCTAACAATCCTTCGTAGACAGCGATTGTCGAAGACTGATAGCCGCTTCATATCTTCCGAGCGAATAGGCCAAGTTTCACAGCCGTACAAGAGTACTGCACGGACGAAGCGTTGTACACCCTGCCCTTGAGCTTGAGACTGACATCAAGACGACGCCTGAGATTAGCTGTTTGTCCAATTCTTTCTGTGATAACCAGCCTACTCAAATTTGCGAATGCACATGCATTATCTTTCATCTTCCTGTCAAAAATAAATAAAATAAATTTCATCCTATTTTCTGTTTCCCCTCTAATCTTCCCTTTGATTGTGTGACTTCCCGTCGACTCGCTGCTAGACTCTCGGTTAATTTCAGATCCAGCTATTTTAAGGACGCTTCCCTTCCTGGTTATTCTTGCTTATCGGAGTACAGCTGTCTCACACAATATGGACGGATTATTTTCGTCCACATTGCAGACCGTCAAGTACGCTATTTTGCACCAACCTCACTTCAATCAGGGTTCATTTTATAAAATTAGATCTATTAGCGTAACCAACACGCTGTTCAAGTACATTCTATTCCTCGAGAGTTACCCTTACTTCCTCGGTACAGCTGCAAACGAGTCTGTCCCTTGGAAATCATCTGTTCTTTATCGCCCCAATTCATGATAGCTTCAATCCGTATTTCTAATCCATCAGTAACACAGTTATTGATGGGTCTTACTTTCGCGTGGATGTGCATGTATTTGGGGAACCCGCGGCCTCGTCAAATGTTCACTAAAGCTATCTATTCCTTGCAATCTCCCCTCGTCATTTATTTGGTGTAATTGAAAATTGTCCGCGCTTTTTTTAACTTGCTTACTCCAATTACCTTCCATCACTAATTTCTCAGAACGGACACATTGACAACCCATACTGTCAGGGCATTCAGGGTGCAATGCAGGCGTACGCACATTCGCTTCGCACGGTGAAGTTCCACGGACCTACAAATTTCGCTCCCATCATCAATACAGTTGCAAGGTGAGCGATGTGCTAAGCAAATCTGTTGTCCTAAATTTACTCCATCAGGTAGCTTACCGCGGGGGGTAGAACGCCTGTTTTGCACATCCCCATCTGAGCAGTTATGCAAATAAATGCTATATTTTTCGAGTTAACGCAAAACTGGTCCCACGCAGTGTCGTGTTCTAAATATTATAAATTGTTCATCCTTTTGCATAGGAACAAACTTATAGAAGTAGTGGGTATCGTAATAATGAAACTACAGTGGGATTTCGTTTGGGTGCTGTAGTATTCATTTAAACCCCATCAGTAGCCCTATGGAGTTTTCAGATGTTCATGTTCTGCTCTCTTCTACCACAGATGCTATCCGTTCCATATTTCATGGAGGAAGGGGCTACATTTGACTGTAAAGAAACGGTGGTCTGTAATGGTTACATCAGTATGTCAATAAGGAAATATTAGCAGGAGCATTAATGCACTAACTTGGCTAACTGTCCAAAATCTCCATGGTGCTTAAGCACGATTTGGCTTCGATCGCATGGTAAGGATTCTAGGTCCATCTACAATAACATTCTACATCCTCATGTTACATGAACAAACGAGTGCCGAATTGGCTATCTTTTTATTGACTTTCATGTTTAATATAATCCCCAGTTAATCACGACTGATTAGGGTCGAACATTAACAGAGGAACATAGATTGGAGTAGAAAATCGGCTACGTTTTTCTTTTCGACTTCCATGGGGAAATGAAGGCCTCCAGTAGCGCATGCCAGAGTAAGGGAAGGAAGGTTGCATGGAACAGAGAATGCAGATGAGGATCAATTGACTTTCTCTGTCCAGCTTCCGTATGAACATAAAATTTTCTAGGTAAGCATGACTACGAAATGATAGAAAGTAATCGTGCGGTAGAAGGTCCCGATAACATTTGGTTGGCTCTTTCCTTTCAGCTGCGATGTGGACATAAAAGGCTCCAGCTAAATATGCCCATGTAAAGCGAGAAAATGACGGTACGATGAAAATTAGAGACCATTGCTCGACTGCTTTTCATTTTGGGCTCCATGGAGACATGAGGGACTGAAGTTTGGACAAGTTGCTTCAGAAAAAGAATCCTAGTGTCTTATTTCTTTGAAAGGCACGGAAAGAAGACGAAGACTGGTAGATGCATGCATTACCATTGCATGCATGCATGCCATTCACAAAAACCGATATGCATAGATATAGCTAGCAGTGGTGACTTAGCCACGCTGAAGACAACTAAGCGTATAATTTCGGCTACACAAAGAAGTTACTATGCTGCACAAGTTGTCGTCATCAACCGAACCCGAAATTTGCCCATACCTCCAACGAAGGTCAGCCTATGGGGGCCAACTCACATTGTGTATACCAATTTATATGTGACTGTGGAAAAAGTTGTATAGGCAGAACCAATAGAACGCTGACTTCCCGAATAAAGGAACATGTGCCAAGATTTGTTCCACGTGAAGTTGCTCCGATTGCCTACCCTCGTCAGATCCCATGTTCGCGCAGACCGCCGGCTTCCTCGATAGGCAAACACCTATTAGACTCGGGTCACCAGATAGAGCTGGGCTCAGCGTTTAAAGTTGTGTTACGTCACACTAATCCCCGCTTCCTTCGGTTTGCAGAGGCTGTCGCAATAAGCTGGATTAAGCCAGCCTTGTGTGTTCAGAAACAATTATTTGTCAGCCTAAAGCTGCCTTGGACGTAAGTGTGAACTTCCGTCATTCGTTTTGCACCTTAAGCTTGTCTGGTTGCACCCACTGTTAGCTATATCCATGCATATCGGTTATTGTTAATGGTACTGAGGAGACAATACGAAATGCATACATCTACCAGCCTTCGTCTTCTTATTTCTTTATATATAATTCATATAACACTCCGTACTTCTTTTCATGCGTTCCCAATACCGTTGTGGAACACATCCTCTCAAGTTTGTGGCACTTTCGCCATATTGTTTGCGTTCTTTATTGTCAGATAATATCTTCTCGCTACCTTAAGCTTTTCTAGGTTGCAGATGTCCCTGTTATTATTTGGCAATTCGTTCCAGAGCTTCGGCGACTTCTAAAGTTGACTTCCATCTATAACAGGACCTGTATTCTGACCCAATTTTCATTGTTCTACTCATGCTACCTAAACTGGGTTCCTCTGATTTTTAGCAAAAATCTGCCGCCACTTATGGGAATGAATTCCTCCCGATTGTACGTCTCCCTGATTCACTTATCTGTTTCTCAAATTGTGTCGCTGCATCACTCCCTAAGCATTCCACAAAGTGGAATGTTTCACTACCTTAACGTAACCTGAATGCCGGTACGTCCGAGTTAGAAGCTGTGCTCGACCGTCGTTTTCGGGCGATCATCATCTAGTCGCCTCATCTGTAATTTGCTTTATGTGTCCGACGCAATTGTATACAAATTTTCTCACCATCTATCTAACTTTTCGTCTTCGGTTCAGTTGGACACTTACCGTGCTCGAAGTGCTGATTGGCTGTCTGTGTTTGACATGGGTTCCTGAAGGGTATGCCCGATAAATATGTAAACATTATCAGCGCGCTGTACACACAGTTCGGGCTGATTGTGGAATATGACAAATTGTCAGTTCCCTTCAAAATCTCCAACGATGTGAGACAAGTTTGCATGCTGTCAGCTTTCATATTTAACTTCACCATCGACGAACTCATGGCGACGGTGTTTACTGGACACCGCCTACAAGGTGTAGAGCTGCTTCTTGTCTTGGAGTGTGCTGATGACCTTGTCCTTATCTGTGACAGCTCCCAAGCCTGCCAATCAGCACTGGACAGATTATTACTGAATGTCAATCGTTCTGGGCTATGCTTTGCGCCCTCGAAATGCAGAATCCTCCAAGATTGACAGGGACCCACCTCTACGCTGACCCTTGATGGTGAATAGTTAAAACTCGTTCAGAAATTTAATTGATTATACAGCTATCTTGGCGCATGTGGAATAGAATATGAGCTCGTAATTTGTATAGCAATAGCCCGAAGTGCTTTTGTTCATCTTCGCTACCTGTGGTGCCGGCGCTCTGAAGAGCAGAGTTTACTATGCAGCCGTCCGTCCAACCCTTCCGTACAGGGGCGAAACTTGGCCCATCAAGTCGACAGAAATAAGGTGGCCTGTTACTTTCCACAATCGCTACCTTCGCAGTTTATCTCATGTCTGTCGGGAACACTGCGTAAGCAATAAGCGTATTCGGCGTCGTGGCTACACTAGTTGATATAGCAAAGAGCCGATCTCAATGGCGTTTGTGTTGTGAGTTTCCATGTTCCTCCGTTTCTCGCTTCATCATCATCAACAGCAGTACATCAGGCATTTGAACTGATGCTTCGCTGTCATACAACCATGATGACCTATGAAATAAAGAATAAGAAGAGGGAGAGAAAAGGGAATTACCTGAAAACCTTAATGCCTAAGCAAACATTCAGGTTCAAGACGCCTACACCTTGTGTAGACAACATACCATCACAAACAGCTGGCTATCGTGCAAAGATAAAGCGGCATCGGCGAGACAACTTCCTTGCGGCTTTCACTGCCACGCGTCATAATCAGCCATTACCCCACAGATAACTCAACACCAAACACACTTTAAACAGGCAATCCGATTAGGAGACGGCAGCAGACGCGCCACTGGTGTCTCCTGCGAGCCATATCCTGCGAAGTCTGGAGCCAAGCACAAGGCGAGTCACATGGACTCCAGCCCGGAAGGCGAGACGGACCAACGGCATCCAGTTTGGTCGTCAGTGACTTCATTTCCCGCTGCGAAGTCAACTTCTGTCCACCTCGAGCATTGCGCCACCCTTCACCTGGCAGACTAAACAAGGCCCTCCTAGGTAAGCGGTGACCAGACATACGTAGCACGTGCCGAAGCCAACGCAACTTATTCAGTGCTATCTGTTGTTCTAGGGAGCTAGCATGATTATCACCACCTAGTACTCGCCTACGCACATCATCGTTGCGGACACGCTGGTGCCATCCGACTCCAGCAATGCTTCGCAGACAACGACGATCAAGGACTTGAAGGCACTTCAGAGCGAAGGGGCCAAGTCTCACTACCATACAGCAGAACGGCCCTCACTGTGGCCTTGTATATAGGGCCTTTCAGACGATGGGAAACTCCATTCTGTTGTCAAAGATGACGCAGGTTCAAGAAGATAGCTCTGGCTTTTGCAATGCATGAGCTCACGTCAGTTTCTATGCGCCCATCATTGCTGATGCAGCTGCCAAGATAAGTGAAATGATCAACCACCTCGAGTTCCTCGTTAGCACGCGTTATGGGGTCATCAAGTGGCTGGTGGTCCTGCAGCAACACATTACACTTTGAAGGTGCGAAGTGCATACCAAATAATGGGACCATTCTGGACAGGCTATTCAGGGTTGATTGGGCCGCCCCAACATCGTCGAAAAGTAAGACGATATCGTCCGCATAATCTAGATCAACTAATCTTTCACCAGGCAGCACTTCAACGCCTACATCGTGGGATTCCGCAAAGGAACACTCCATGATAGAATCCACGACGAAATTGAATGAAAATGGGGAAATCAGACAACCCTTACGAACGCCACTTGTAGTCGAAAAGCTATCCGGTAGTACACTGTAGACCCTGACGTGGCCTGTAGTGTTCGAGTATAGAGCACGAAGGATGTTCACATATTTCGTGGGAATACCTTTCCGCGCAAGTATTTCGAACAGAATTGATCGATCGACTGAATCGAGCGCACTCTTGAAATCGAGGAGCACACCTATTGTCGTTCTGCGGTATGCGTGACGATGCTCCAGCAACTGCCGCAAAGTGAATATATGGTCTATACAGCCACGTCCTGGGCGGAAACCTGCCTGCTCTTCCCTAATCCGGGATTCCCGTACCGCAGTGAGGCAACGAATGATAATCGTGGCCAGTAATTTTGCCACAACTGGCGTTAAGCTAATACCTCTGTGGTTAGAACAGTCTGTGCGACTGCCCTTCTTGTATATTGCCACTATAATCGATTCGCTCCAGTTAGCCGGGACAATCTCTTCATTCCAGATGCGTTCGAATATGGGGGTCAGTGCTTTGCAGAAGACCTCACCTCCATCCTTAAATAGTGCAGGTGGGATGGAATCCGGACCAGCGGCACGAAAGCGATTGAGGGCTGTGATCGCGTTTCGCACTTCGGCCTCCGACGGATGCTCTAAACTAACCGTCCATGGCTCGTCCTGCATCACCTTAGTAGGGAGATGTTCGGGAGCAGGGGGCCAGCTGAACTGATCTTCAAAGTGTTCCGCCCAACGAGCCATACGGCGTTCCTTATTGTGTATCAGCGCACCCGCGCTGTCTCCGATTGTTTCACTGACGCCTGGTTTTCTGGGACCAGTGGTGCGGATTGGCTGGAAGAGCTTGCGGTAATTGCCTACTGCTCCTGCCTCCTACATTTCTTGAGCCCTACTGGTCCACAGGCTTTCTTGTCAGCCCGTAGGCTCTGCTTTAGTTCACGCCTGATAGCCCGTCTGGTCACACTGTGTTCAGAGCCAGCCGGGAGGTGTCTTCTAGATTCCAACAGGTTCACCGACCTCTCGGATATCCAGTGACTGGTGCGGTGACTATTGATAGGCTTGCCTGACCGAGGACTGAGACAATTTCTCCGTTGCTAATCGTAGGGGACGCTAATCGTAGGGGGACGATGCTAATCGTAGGGGACGTAGGGACGCGCCTCCCGGTAAAGTTCATGGAGAAACGACAGCGTACCAAGACATGATCAGAGTCGACACAGGTAATCCAGTACGAGCGGCAATCCAGGATGGAACCACGCCATCTGTAACTTATGGCTATGTGGTCAATTTGGGTCCTTCTCGCTTCTCGCTTAGTTTCCTCTCAAAAACAATATTACACTGCATGGATAACATGACGCTTGGTTTTTGTGTTATGTAATGTTTGATACCTTTTTGCATTACGGTGCCTTTGCTCATGTGTTTGCCACCCTCAGCCGTCTTGTACTGATGATGATGTTGATGATGCCGATGGTGATGACGATAATGATGATGATGCTGATTGATGATGATGTTAACACGAATTCTTGCATGGGTTTCATTGTTGCTTGTGCGTTCACTCCACGCTGTCGTAGCAATAATCTTGTGGTACTGCGCTCGACTTCGAAGTGAATACGCATGTACACGCTGCTGCTTGTAAATCTTTATTCTAGTTCTCATTGTGGTAGTGCTCACGTAGCAATCGGATCCCCTGTGATTTATGCGCTCATTGCTAGTTGCCTGGTGCCGCGATATGGCACCGATTACTTTAGTCTACGAGTGACCGCTTAGACAGAAAAGCGAACCCCTTAGTCCCCTGATAATATGGATAGTCGATTGGTGAGGGCAATGCATATGTCGGTCTGCACATCACTCATCCCGTTACGGTGAATCATTGTTATCTCGAAATATCTTTTGAACCAGTTCACTCTGCGTCCACACTGAATTTCGAAGGGTTCTCCCCACCTTACGATTGCTGTTCAAAAGTATCTGACGTTTCCTGATGAAAAACAAATTTATTCAGATACCAACATCTTACCTTGATCTCTTTCGAAGTTGTCGCCCCGGCTGTCACACATATCTACTAACGTTTCTACCACTGCAGGTAACAGCACCGAAGCGACTTTTTGGAGGGTATACAGCTGATCCGTCGCATTTTGCATGATACCTTCTCTGGACCGATATATGCTCCCTTTGAGGGACTTTTTCAGTTTTGAGAACAACCAAATGTCCCATGAAGCCATGTCGGATGAGTAGGGAGCCTGTCGCAGCACTAACATGTTGCGTTTTTCTCCAGGAAATGTGAGGAATTTGCTGATGCGTTGTCGTGATGGCGCTGCCGTTGCCCACCGAGCAGTGCGTTTGCTTCTCACAGCTTTACGAATGCGATACGAAACTTTTCGATACTGTATCATGCGTACTCATGACAAACCATGCCACCAAGCTTTTCACTGGGACAAGAGCAATCTTATTTCGGCCTACCAGACCGTATTTTACTTTCCATTGATGTGCCGCCTTGTTTCAAACGGTTGTATCATTATTTTATCCGTGTGCTGCTCATTTCTACATCACCGAAAGCTTCTTAAATCTTTCGGATAATTTCCACTTGAAATTCACCGACATTCGCGCAAAAATTAATGCATTATGATTGTTCCAGTTTCTCCGTCATTTTTTAAACGGAAATCCGACGACGCGCATTTACACGTCTTCGCCCAATGAAGACGAAAATGACGAAAAATGACCTCTCTCTTCGGCGGGAAATTATACACGCATGCACATGGGAGGTCTACGGCTTACATGCACCGAAGCATGTCTTTATATCTTCATTGTTTTTCGCAGAACAAGTAAAATTCAGATGCTTTGTGCACAATTCTCGTACAGCTAAAATCATCCAAATTAACACAGAGCGCCTTATGATTCCAAGCTTATCACATTCGAGGTGCAGAATTCCTCTGCAACACCGGGCTGATACGATCTCGGTTCTGACTATCATCGAGGAGCTAGTGGAACGATACCAAGGCTTTACTTGGCAGTTGAGTCTCTTATGGCTGTCACATCACTGTGGAGGCCACTTCACGTGTTAATAAAATCCATATAACTTTCCACAGATTCACTCGTCTATGGAGATGGCGCGTTATAATCCTACCAGTCTAGAGCAACCATTCTCAACTGGGGGCATATGGCCCCTTGAGGACCACAGGGTATTCCTGGGGGGCCCTGGGTTGAGAAAACTTTTTAGCGGGGCCATAAGGGACCTTGCGGTGCTTAGTGGGTTGTGATAACGAAAATAACAAAATTCATTTTAATATTTTCTGATGGTTTCTCTCCACGCACTAATTTCCCCTGGTAACTACTGGACTGGGAAATGAGTTACACGCGCGCAAGTGGCTGTTTACGAATGTGGGAAATCCAGACCGGGCAGACTCTTTATTGCGGAGATGACATAGCTCCGCCAAACTGGCGCCGATTTCGTCGGGCTCACCTCAAACACGCAATCACCGTACGGCGACTTAGATTGTGCAGCTAACAACCGATTCGTCCTCAGGTCTTCGATGCTTATCCACAGTGAACCAACTGAACTTTACCGAGGACACTGATGCATCAGCTCTGAAAGATGCAAGGAACCTAACGAACTCTCGTCAGAATACTGCGGCCGTTACCGCACAAATCCATACTGACACTAACACTAACACTGTGTGACAGCTCATGTGTCGGTCAGTCTTTCTCCTTCGGGTCACAGTGCGGCAGGGCTAGGTCACACGTTTTTCGTCTCCAGTCTCAGCGGTTATGTCATTTCCGCCTGCAACGTTCTGAATTCAAGTGGATTCTTTGCGCGCATGGGGTACTACATAATGTGTGCGTAAAGATACTTCTTCTAGCACTCATAGTAATCAACTGTCTTTCCGGCACGCATTTGGTGCCAAGTTTAGCAATAGCCGATGCACCTTATTAGTTTCGTAGTTGGCTGTCTCATGACGGTTTCCTGAACTCTCCGGCATTTTCTTCCGTGTTTATCGCTTCTCTCATTCATTTTATCTACCATCACCGTTTGGTACAACTTTACTGTGTCCACCGAACATTGTTATTTTCTGAGTTCCACTTGTTTTCTTCATTTGCTTTTGTCAAAAAGGTTTTTTCGGTCATTTTAACTATCCATGGTATTTTCAGTCATTATCAGAAAACCCCTTTGGGTTGCCTCTCAGAGTTTCTACTAATTTTACATTTTATCATTGTAGCCGACAACAGATGTTCTAAGTATGCTTACCAAATGTCCTATTATCTCACAGTCATGCAATAATACATTTGATGCCACCAATCATTCGTACCAACTGCGTGTTTCGCCTCGTCGAATGATGTTATTCATTACCCATGATGTGACTGTGTAAGAAAAATAAAACATAAGCAATATATGGTTGGCGGCATCCGGTTTCGGATTTGCCTGTCGCTGTGGCCAGCCACAGGAGGCCTACGCCCACAGAAGGACCATGGGTGGCTTGCGCTGTACCACCCACAGCTCCAACCACACACCCCCATATCCAGTGTAAACCCGAAGGAATAAGACCGGGAGGCATGAGGATGGGAGCCACGTTTCATCAACGGAGCCGGCCCACACTCCTTCACAGGCAAACACAACCACGCTGTATTTGGGGTATCAAGTGCACGCAAGGCGGTGGCTGGACCGTAGTCCGCTCCACACTGAGTGCATGGACTACTCTTCGAGCCTAGCATGACCACAAGGACCGTGCACCCCATCCCCTCCAGCAACGACCAGCTGTCCCCTGGAGCCAGTATGGACGAGGTAGTGGGTAATGTACAGATAGGCAGCATGTGAACCTGCACGTTAAGCGCAGCCACACCGGAGATGTCAAACAACAGCCAATCACTTGAAATGACATTAGCAAATAACATATATCTGTTAAAGAATGCGGCTATGCAGACCTAACCCTCCTTTAAATTAGTATATGAAGTAAGTTGGTTAGCAACGAATCCGCGATAAGTACAAAATGTCCAGAAGTTACGCAAAAATGCTACAAACGCAATTAACTTAACGAAGATAACCACAATTAACGTAAGCAACATGGCCAGTCAATAGAAGATCAGTCAGGTAGGCAGAACAAACCAAATAAAGTGGAATGAAATTTAGCCAGCTTAAAAAGACCTAGTTTAAGTGGAAGCTGATTTAGCCCAACTGCGGTGAAGAAGCATCATGAATGCAACATCAGCCTCAGCATAGGGCACATCTCATACATATATGGTTGGCGGCATCCGGTTTCGGATTTGCCTGTCACTGTGGCCAGCCACAGGACGCCTGCGCCTACAGAGGGACCGTGGGTGGCTTGCGCTGCACCACCCACAGCTCCAATCACACACCCCATATCCAGTGTAAACCCGAAGGAATAAGACCGGAAGGCATGTGGATGGGAGCCACGTTTCATCAACGGAGCCGGCCCACACTCCTTCATAGGCAAACACAAGCACACTGTATTTGGGGAATCAAGCGCACACAAGGCGGTGGCTGGACCATAGTGCCCTCCACGCTAAGTGCATAGAACCACTATTTGATCTTAACACGGCCACAAGGACTGTGCACCCAGTCCGCTCCAGCAACGACCAACTGTCTCCTGGAGTCAGTATGGACGAGGTAGTGGGTAATAGACAGGTAGGCACCTTGTCAACGTGCACATCAAGCGCAGCCACATCGGGGATGTCAAACAACAGCCCACCGTATACTTTAACAGATATATTTTATTTGATAATGTTACAAGCAATATATATAAATATATATATATTAACAATTTACATAGACACGTTTCAGTAATAAGCTGCTCCGCAAAGAGGTGTCGGCACTACTCCGTGGAATATTTATCATCTGGATTTATTGAATCACCCCAAAAACCTCACTTTTGTGTTCAATTTGTCAAAACACCTCCAAATGAAAGTATGCGGCCGAGTAAACTGAAAAATTATTTGGCAAGCACTGATAAGGAGGAAAGTGGAAAATATGGGGATTGTTGCAGCAAGCATACTGTCGGACCTGGTGTATATGAATCCACCAGAAGCAGCTCAAGCCATTCCGTTTAGAAATTCGGCTGTACCTAGGCGTATGGATGAGATGGCTCAGGACATTGGAAGTACCTTAGTTACTTTACTACAGTCCAGAACATTTTCATTACACGTAGATGAATCTACTTTACCTGATAGCGACGTTCTTCTCATGGCATATGTCCGATTCTTCAATGATAATGAGTTAGTGCAAGAGATGTTGTTTGCCAAGGGAATTAAAACTCATACAAAGGGCCAGTCCATATTCACGGTAGTCAATAGCTATTTGACTAAAAACTCCATTCCAATACAGAACATAGTTGCGTGTGCAACAGATGGTACTGCCGCAATGGTCGGAATATATGAAGGATTTATTGTCGATCTAGAAAATTTTCTCTCTACTATTCATTCACTTCTCTGTGTGATTCACCGAGAGCACATAGTGGCTAAGAACTTGGGAGGACGATTAAACGCTTGTCAACCGTTATACTAATAGTTAACAATATTAAATCACATTCTCCTCAACATTGTCTTTTCCAGCAATTGTGTGTGGAGAACAGTGACGAGTTCCAGGTCCTCCGGTTGCATGCAGAATTTAGATGAATCTTTAAGGATAAGTGCTTCCAGCATTTGTTACACTCGGACACCAACATCACATTCCTTTCTGGTGGAACTGATTATAAATAACTGTTAATAGCTAAGCCAGCTGTGTCTTATCTGGCTGGTGTTTTTACAAAAGCCAATTTATTAGATAAAACTCTTCAAGGCCAGTTAAATAATTTCATCTCGAGCAAAGAAGCCAGTTTCGATTTTCTTAAAAAGCTGGAACTGTATCCTCATAACATCGGACGTCGAGAAGTCTCAGTTGCTGATACTTGCTACAGTCACAGAGTAGCTGAATGATGAGGACTTGATTGCTTATGTCAGTCATTTACAACTCCACCAGAAAGAAACGAAAGTCAGGTTTCATGATCTGATTGACATGGAAGTTCCGATTTGGAGTTTAGGTCCATTTGATGTACAACCCTGCGTTGTTGGAGTTACAGTCTAGGAAATCGCATGGAGCTTCAACGTGACACACTAGCAAGGTATAAACTCCCGCAATACAAAAGCGATTTTTGGATAACTACTGATGCCTCTAACAGATATCCTAGACTGGGCAATAGCTGAAATATATTTCCTTGTTTTCCCTTTTATATACTTGGTTGGATGTGGATTCAACAGTAGTTTCCCCGACAAAAAGTGGAAACCGATTGGGCTTCACAGAAAGAGGAGATATTCGACTCTCACGGTCAAGTCTGGAGCCGGGCATTAGACCCAAAGTTCGCAAAAATATCTCGACAAAGATTGTTAAGAGAGGACTACACCGCCTCGTTCATGACATGCCTTACAGTTAAATGCCAATATAATTGAATACATTTTGAATCATTAGTGACGACTTTTGTGTGATTACACACAAGCGGCTTGATGTTGCCGCACAATAAATGTTAGAGGCTATGAAACATAAAAAGTGCGGTTTATAAGGGAAATATCAGTTATAACAGCATTAAAAAC